AAAAAAGGAACAGACATGAAGCTTTAAATTTAAAAAACCCAGGGGCACTGACATGTTTAGTTTTGAAAAATCATGGAGAAGTTTATCGGGAAAGAAGAGTGGGGGAAACATCTAAAAAGGAAAATGTTCAAAAACAGCAGCCAACATGGTTTCGGGAGGGGAAAATCCTGTGTCAAAAAACCCTCTGGAGTTCTATGACAGGGGTGACAGCAGTAAGACAAGAAAAGGGGAGGGGTGGGGGATTGCATATTCTTGGCCCGAAAAGAAGGCTTTTTGCCCACAGTTCCACAAAAGAGATTGGTGAAACCTGGGGGACCAAGCGGGGAAAAAACCCGGGAAGGGGCCTCCAAGGGTCAGGAATATTTGCAGGAAAAACCAGCAGCGAAGTCATGGTACGTGGCGGGGGTGTGGGAGGGGGCATTTGTGACCAGGGGGGGGTCCAACAGGGGTCGTCCTAGGCCCAAAGTGCTTTTTTCTGGTTTTTGTGAACGACATGAGGGAAAGGGAAAATAGACTCTGAGGGCCCCTTTTTGAGTGACGTGAAGTTGATGAGAAGAATTAAACCGATCGAAGCCCAGGCAAATAAAAAAGGGATCTGGAAAAGGCTGCAAACCGGGTCCAAAAATTGGTCCTGGATTTTCAATCCCCCCAAAGGGTGAAAAAGTCATGATAATCGGGGAAGGGCAAAGAAGACCCCAGGGGGAATTACAGTCTTTGGGGGGCCAAAGAAAAAAACCCCTCACTAAAGGGAAAAAGATTTTGGGGGGGGAGTATAAAAACCGGGGCACATGTCCTGAAGCTCACATTAAAACCAAAATAACTGCTGCAGCAATGGGCGCCTAGCAAACCACAGAAAAAGCTTCCGACATCTTAAAAAAGGAATCATTCAGGCCCTTTTTACACCGTTTTACTTTGGGCCCTTTTATTGGAGAAAGCGGCACCATTTTTGGAAACCCCACACCAAGCCAAGCATGTAAAGAAACTAAGAGAAAGTGAAAAGGGTTTGAAACCAAGACTAGTCCCAGAGGAGGAGAGGGTTAAAGGGGAAATAAACCCGACACCTGGAGGGCCCGGAGAGATAGGGGGGACATGATAACGAAATACAAAATACGGAGGAAAATTTACAAGGTGGACAAAGACAGGATTTTTCCAGGGATTGGACACGAACAAGGGGGCACAGTTTTGGGAAATTAAAGGGCCCCAGATAATCTCAGGGATGGGGTTTGGAAATTTCTTCAGCCACAGATAGTCAGTAAGTGGAAATTTGTTTTGGGAACATGTAGGGTTTAAAGGGAGGATCTATACTAGCTTTTAAACGAGGTATGATTAAAAACTCACGGTTCAGGGAAGTAACCTAGTAGCGGTCAGTGAAAGAGGCGGGGCCAGGAGCTCGGACCCCGACCTCTGCAAAACCCCAACTAGGTGGGGACAACAAAGGGGGTACAAATTTGGTGAGTTACACACACAAAACACACACAAAGTATATACACTGGGGTTGTATATCTCAGTTTTATATAAAATGGGGGGTTTATATTTTCAGTGTAAAATACACTGGGAGGTGGGATATCTCAGGGGACCAAAACTTAGAGGTGATATCCCCAGTGTATAACCCCTGAGAGTTGTAAAAATTTCCCTGTATTACACTGGGAGGGGGGTATATCTCAAATGCATATACACTGGGGGGTGTTATCTCAGTGTAAATACATGAGGGTTTTACATTCATGATATTCCCCCTGGGAGGTGTAAAACCCCAGTGCATTTTACACTGGGAGGTTTTAAAATCTCAAATGTATATTAAAAACCCGAGAGTTGTATATCTCAGTGTAATAAAATGAAGTTGTATATTCATGTATAAAACACTGGGGAGGTTTTTATATCTCATGTATATACACTGAGAGTTGTATTTATCAATGTATATACACTGGGGAGGTGTTTTTCCCAGTGAAAAATACACTGGTAGTTTATATTAATCAGTATTTTATATATTAAAGTAAAACTGAAGGTGGGGCCAGGGGACCTGCAGCCCTTTAAAGAAACCCGGTTTTAGTAAAATAGGGAAAGTTAAAAACCCCTTAACCAACCAACCCGCCTTAAAAGACCCTCGTTTTAGTAAATAGATTTAAAACCCCAAAAACCAAACCAAAACCCGTTTTTTTGACCCTGGTGTAGTAGATAAAGGGGGGGGGGCGTTAAACCCCCTTAACCAACCAACCAGCCCTTAAAGCCCTCGTGTAGTTTGATAGACTTTAAACCCCCAAAAAACCAAAACCAAACCGTTTTTAATGACCCTCTGTAGTTTAAAAGACTTTTAAAAACCCCATTAACCCAACCCAAACCCGTCTTAAAAAGACCCCCGGGGTAGTAGATAGACTTTAAACCCCATTAACCAACCCAAACCCCCTCTTAATGACCCTCGTGTTGTAGATAGACTTTTAAACCCCCTTAAAACCCAACCCAAAACCGTTTTGTAATGACCCCCTGTAGTAGATGACTTTTAAAACCCCATTAACCAACCAAAAAGTTTTAAAAAGGGCCCTCGTTTTAAATAGTTAAAACTTTAAACCCATTAACCAAACCAACCAGTCTTTAAAGACCCTGGTGGAGTAGATGACTTTTTTAAAAACCCATTAAACCCCAAACCCAACCCGTCTTTAAAGACCCTCGTGTAGTAGATTGACTTTAAAACCCCCTTAACCAACCAACCAGTCTTAAAAGACCCTCGGGAGGGAGATAGAAATTTAAACCCCCCTTTAAACCCAACCCCAAACCGTCTTAATTTACCCTGGGGGTAGTAGATGACTTTAAAACCCCCTTAACCATCCAACCAGTCTTAATGACCCGTGTTTTGTAGATAGACTTTAAAAACCCCCCTTTAAAAAAACCAACCGTTTTAATGACCCCCGGGGGTGTTAAAAGGGCTTTAAACCCCATTAGCCCAACCCAAAAAGTTTAATTTAACCCCCCGTGTAGTAGATAGACTTTTAAAACCCCCTTAAAACCCAAACCCAACCCGTTTTTAAAGACCCCGGTGTAGGAAAAGACTTTAAACCCCATTAACCAACCCCCAAATTTAATGACCCTCGTGTTTGTTAAAGACCTTTTTAAAACCCCAAATTTAAAACCCCAAACCCAAACCCGTCCCTTTAAAGGAAAAACCCCGGTTTTTTAGATAGACTTTAAAAACCCCTTAACCAACCAACGTCTTAATTTACCCGGGTAGTAGATAGACTTTATTTCCCCCCCTTAACCCAACAACCATTTTTTAATGAACCCCCGTTTTAGGAAAGATAGGGCTTTAAAAACCCATTAACCAACCAACCATCCCTTTAAAACCCCCGTGTAGTAATTAGACTTTTAAACCCCTTTTAAACCAAAACCCAAACCCTTCCCTTAAAGACCCCCGTTTTAGTTGATAGACTTTTTAAAACCCCCTTAAAACCCAAACCAAAACCCTCTTAATGACCCTCGGTAGTAGATGACTTTTAAAAACCCCCTTAACCCAAAACCCAACCCCGTCTTAATGACCCTCGTGTAGTAGATAGACTTTAAACCCCTTAAAACCCAAAAAAAAGTTTAATGACCCCCGTGTAGTAGATTGACTTTAAAAAACCCCATTCAAACCCAAACCCCCCCCGTTTAAAGACCCTCGTGGGAGTAGATAGAATTAAGGCCCCCTTAAAACAACCCAAACCCGGGCTTAATGACCCCCCGTGTAGTAGATAGACCCTTTTAAACCCCATTTAGCAACCAACCCCGTTTAATGACCCTGTGTAGTAGATAGACTTTAAAAACCCCATTAAGCAACCCAAACCCGTCTTAATTCCTTTTGGGGGGGGGGGGGGGGGGGGGGGGGGGGGGGGGGTTGTGAAGACTTTTAAAACCCCATTAAACCCAAACCAAAACCGTTTTTTAATGACCCTCGTTTTTTGTAGATGACTTTAAGCCCCTTTCCCAAACCCAAACCCGTCTTAATGACCCTCGTTTTAGTAGATGGCTTTAAAACCCCCTTTTAAACCCAAAAAAACCCCGTTTAAAAGACCCCCGTGTAAATAGATAGACTTTTTTAAAACCCCTTAACCATCCAAAACCCTTTTTAATGACCCGGTGTAAGTAGAAGATTTTAAACCCCCCTTAAAACCCTCCAACCATCTTAAAAAGACCCCGGGGTAGTAGATAGACTTTTAAAACCCCCTTAACCCTCCAACCATCTTAAAGACCCTCGTGTAGTAGATAGACTTTAAGCCCCCCTTAACCCAACCCAAACCGTCTTAAAGAAACCCCCGGGTAATAGATAACTTTAAAAACCCCCTTAACCCTTTCCCAACCCCGTCTAATTTACCCTTTGTGTAGTAGATTTAAACTTTAAACCCATTAACCCTCCCCCGTCTTAAACCCTCGTTTTAGTAATAGACTTTAAAAACCCCCTTTAACCCATCCAAAAAGTTTTTTTAAAGACCCCTGGTGTAGTAGATAGACTTTAAAACCCCCTTAACCACCAAAAAAAAAATCTTAATGACCCTCGTGTAGTAGGGGTGACTTTAAACCCCCTTAAAATCCAACCGGTTTTTAATGAACCCCCCGTGTGTAGAAAACTTTAAAACCCCCTTAAAACCCTCCAACCAGTCTTTAAAGACCCTCTGGGAGAGATAACTTTAAACCCCATTAAAAACCCTCCAAACCCGTCTTTTAAAGACCCCGTGAGTAGATTTGACTTTTAAACCCCCTTAAAAAATCCAAACCCGTCTTAAAAGAACCCCGGTTTTAATAATAGACCCTTTTAAACCCCCTTAACCATCCCCAAAAAAATCTTAATGACCCTGGTGTAGTAGATAGGGCTTTTAAAACCCCCCTTTAACCATCCAAAACCCGTCTTTTTTGACCCCGGGTTTTAGTAATAGAATACATTCTGTATTCCCCTCCTTGTATTAACCCGATGCTGTAATGTTGTCATGTCATGTCCCTGTCGCATGGTTTTTCATGTCATGTCGTCCCTTTTTCAGTGGTGGAAGACAGCCCCGGGAGCCTGGTTTAGTGGACCAGTGGGAAAAACCCCAATTTTTGGGGGGTGTGGAACCCACCCTTAAGTTACCTTCCAACTACGGGTTAAAACCCCCGCCCATCCCCCCCATCTACAGCCCCGTTAAACCCCGCCAAAAAACAGCAGTAACCGCAAACAGCAAAATTTAGCCACCATTTTTCCCCAAAAAAAGATTTGAGATATCTCTAATAACGGGCCATTTATTTTTATTTTTTAGTTACCCCCCAAAATTTAAAAAGGCCCCTTTTTTAAGGGGGCCTTTTTTGGCTTTATTATGAAAAAGGGTTTTTTTTTCCCGGTAACCCCGGTTTGGGTTTTGATTTATTAGCCGGGTTTTTATCCCGGGTAGGGTACAGTTATTAACCCCGGCTAGGGTACGTCATTAAACCCGGGTAAAGGGTTTAAATCTATTAAAACCCGGTAGGCTACGTCATTTTCCAGGTTGGGTTTCAGTCTGTTTAAACCCGGGTAGGGAACAGGGGTATTAACCAGGCTAGGCTTCAGTTATTAACCAGGTAGGCTACAGTTATTTAAAACCCGGCTAGGCTACAGTTTTATTTTTCCGGCCTTTGGCTACAGTCTTTAAACCAGGCAAATTTACAGTCTATTAACCAGCTGGGTTACGGCTATTAACCGGGGCTGGGTTACAGGCAATTAACCAGCGGGTTTACAGTCTATTAACCAGGCTGGGCTACAAGTTCCTTGTAAGCAGTAGACCTATACAACGATCAAAACGTTTGGGGTCACTTCTTACCCAATTTCTCAGTTTAAACGAATAATGACGCTAACATATCTCCAAGGAGGTGCCAGCACCTTCATGTCAAGATATGACAAGGAGGTGTCAGCCCTGTCATGTCAAAAGATATAAGAGGTGTCAGCACCTGCAGTCTAAGTATGACAAGAATTGTCAGCATCTGTCATGTCTAAAGATATGACAAGAAGGTGTCAGCATCTGTCAGTCAAAGATATGAAAGAAGTGTCAGCATTGTCATGCAAAGATAGACAAGAGAGGTGTCAGCACCTTCATGTCTAAGATATGACAAGAGAAGTGCAGCACCTGTCTTGTCTAACAATACGCAGATCTGGGCAAATCACGTCATATCGCTTTTTAAAAACATGTTCGTTTCTGTGAAATATTGTCTAAAGCCTGTGTTTACTGGGCTTTGAACTTAATGTTTACTATTCTTGAAGCCTGGTTTTTTCTAGTTCTTAGAGCCAGTATTCACTATCTTCAGAGCCATCTTCCAGATTTGATTTCTATAGGCCTTCGTTTCATTTCTCAAAACCCCTCCGGGGGGATAAAATGACATCCTGCCTATAGAAGATTGATGTCTACGTAGGCCTAGAAATGCACATATATATGTCTACACAATCCTGACTGGGGGCGAAAAAAAATGGATTTATTTTACTATTTTCTTGTACAGGAGAGAGTGTAATTTAGGCTGTTTGGGGGGGCGATTTCCCTTTAAAAGGTGTTGCTGGTGGGTTTTTGTTTTAGGATGTTAGATTCTGTTGGGGGTGACTTTGTGTTTTCAAGGGCTTGTGGGGAGATATTTTTTTGAAGGGAATTGGCCATACTTTTGTCTGGGTTCAAGGGCCATTTTGGGGACCCCCAGTTTTTTGTGTCTGGCTTTAAGGGCCAGTTATTGGGGACCCGAAGTTTTTTGTGTCTCTTCAAGGGCCAGTTTTTTGGGGGCCCTGACGTTTTTTTTGTCTGGCTTCAAGGGGCCCTTTTGGAGACCCTGACAGTTTTTTTGTCTGGGGTTTAAAGGGGGGTTATTGGGGACCCCGGCATTTTTTGTGTCGGCTTCAAGGGGCCCTTATTGGGGACCCTGACAGTTTTTTTGTGTCCCGGCTTCAAGGCCTTTTTTGGGGACCCTGACAGTTTTTTGTGTCTGGCTTCAAGGGCCAGTTATTGGAGACCCTGACAGTTTTTTGTGTCTGGCTTCAAGGGCCAGTTATTGGAGACCCTGACAGTTTTTTGTGTCTGGCTTCAAGGGCCAGTTATTGGAGACCCTGACAGTTTTTTGTGTCTGGCTTCAAGGGCCAGTTATTGGAGACCCTGACAGTTTTTTGTGTCTGGCTTCAAGGGCCAGTTATTGGGGACCCCGACAGTTTTTTGTTCGGTTCAAGGGCCATTATTGAGACCCTGACAGTTTTTTGTGTCTGGCTTCAAGGGCCAGTTATTGGAGACCCTGACAGTCCTTTATACTGGCTTCAAAGACCTTTTATTGGAGACCCTGCCAATCCTTTATACTGGTTTCAAGGACCTTTTATTGTGAGACCTCAAGCTAGCCCTTTGCTCGTTTTCGTTTAATAACATTGTGATGATTGAGGGAAAACATCAGTGGAAGGTGGCCATTGTTTTTATGTCAGGAAGGGAAAAACGAGTAGTGTGACTCCACATAGCAGCTACGGGATCAACACCTACAGCAGCTACCCCTACAAAAGCGCAGTTACAGCACTAAAACTACAACCCGCAGAACAATACAACTGAGTAGGTACAACGGTAA